AGCATAGAATCACAACACTGGTGCCGATATTTAGGCTCAGAGGTCTTTACAGGTTAGCGGAGCACACGACCTGTCAGAGTGTGGCGCGGCATTACTGCAAAAATCCTGGAACCCCAACGCCCAACTGCCGAAAATCTTCCCAACACTGAAACCAACCCCTGAAATTTCAGGGTGAAAGCAGCAAAGGGTTGAGCGGTCTACCCGGCGTCTCCCCGCGATGGACGTTGGCAAACAGGGATCCACCAAGTAGGTCGCCAGGAAGTACCTTAAGAGGAGCTTCGGTGTTTTGCAGGGCTTGGAGCTTGGGCCTCGGAGCTACAGATAGCAACAGGTAGGGTTTGATGGCTTTTAAACGCGGTAGATTTCAGGGATGAGGGGGGTTTAGGGTTTAGGGTTGGTGTGGAGTTTTGGGATTGTGCCCCTAACTTCAACAGTTCCCTGGCCGCCTACGCTTCTCCGCCCTTGCGAGTCCACTAAAATGTTCAATCGAACCTTCGAGGCCAACCCTTCTCTTTGACACCTGCCACAGCCACATCTTTGTCGTTTTGGTACTGCTACAGGGGATCGGCTTCTCGTCTCCCTGTGCGAAGATCACTCATTAGCTGTTGCGAGCGAGGTCGGACACTGCGGCCATGCTGGCTGCAGACCCAGCGGACGTGTGACTCCGAAGCCATACGTTCTAGAGCAGAAAAAATGACCCAGTGGCAACATAAGTCCGGCAGCCTACCGTCCACTTCCTGGCCCACGGGTTCGCAGTATTTTCCAATCCAATGAGAAAAACCATGAGCTCCCGAAGAACCAAAGAAATGTAGTGAAAAATCTGCAAACCATATGCAGTGAGGCAGTCAACAACAGCTTGGTTCGGATGGGAGTATGAACAACTTGAACCTGAGCCCTAATCCTAAGGCTCCATGTCCCTACATAATCTATACGCAGGCCTTAATGTAGCCCCTATATAGGTACTTGAAGGCCTAAGTATAGACTGTATTGGCACATGGAGGCTTATCCGACGTGGGGCCCTGGGTCTCATTGCTTCCGAAGGCACAAGCTTCGTCGCACTCAAGCCGCTTAGGCTCTCCGAGAGAGTCTTGACCTTTAGCTCCAAACTTCTCTGGTTCTTTGTTATAAGGGCTTTCTATTCCTATGGCTATGTAGATTATCATAACTTGTTTTTAAACTTCAAAGCTTCTCTAGCCTACGAGTATAAAGCGTTATACGGGGGCTCACGATAAGCAGCCCCTAAACCCTGAACCCTAAACCCTAAAACCCTAAACCCCAAACCCTAAACCAAAACCCAGGGGCTGTTGTTCATGGCCTCGGGTTCGGGCTCGAGGGTTGTTGGTTTGCGGCTTTGCGTTCTGCGTTCTCGGGGAGGCCTGGACCTAGGGCGTGGGAAGCAAAAGGCCTGCAAGCTTTCATGACCTGTGCTTTACAAGCCTTGATATTAGTATCAGGAATCCGAGTAGATCAATCCCTCTAAGGCAGCGAGGCTTGAAGTCTGCATTACTATGAAGCTTCCGGATAGCTGGTGACATTATGATGATATATAAACTCTAACTGTCCGAGCTGGTCATTTGGGACCAGGGAAACTTTCAGGGTTGAAGCTCCGTCTAAGAGTCTAGGGTTCATAGCCTTCACTTCTGGAATCCAAAAGACATCACAACCCTATAGTTGCTGAGGAGCCTCGATCATCACAAAAGGGGTCTAGTGTACTTTACAGGGAGTACAAGTGAATCGTACAACATGATTATGCACGCCTCTCCAATGGGCCAGCACTCGGGATTGACGATTTCGGAACTGTGATCTTGGGACGCCGCTCTCAGCAATAAGCCGGAACCCCGTAACAACACGACTCAAACCGTGAAATTGACTGCGAAGTTCAACAACCCTGAAGTAAGCAAAAGACTGATTCCCCACCCACTGCTCCGGTCCCGCTCTAAGGCACTAAGGCACTACGGGCAGGTTAGGGTTTCGGGCTTACGGGGTTGTAAGGTTTCCAACCGCCAGCAAGTCGCAGCCCCAAAGCGCTCAGGCTTGTAAACGTCGTTGGCAGTGAGGATGCCTCTAGCGTCTGATGCTATGGGCCCAAACCAAAACCCTTTGGGCTTGGGAATGGTTCCTATAGTCCTCTTTGGGGCTGAGGGTGTTGTACCGCATGCTTTTTTAGGCTTCCATATCTAAGGTTTGCCGAGAGCTATCGGATTTCGCCTTCGAAGCAAGTGATCTAAATCCGACGTTGCGGGATCTTCCCTCGAAAGTCAAGAAGGAACCCCTGATTCCAAGAAGCCCACAGAATGATTACGCCTTATCCAAGCCTAAACGTACTGTAACTACCGTTACCACCCCGGAAGCCCGGGAAAAGACGCATAGAGACCTCCAACAGAAGCTTGAAAGACCCCCTAGCAAAGCCCAGGGGCGCAAAGTTGGGTTGGGCCCAAGGTCAGCAGAACGCGCGAAAGCGAAACAGCCGCTGAAGCAAGACATTGGTGTACCCTACTGTGAGGCTCCCGGTATGCAAGTATAGGCTGTAAGGCCCCACGATGTTCCGGGCATCGCACACCATTCAGAGTATACCCTAAGGCCCCAAAGTAGCTCCTTTTTGGGGTTCGTATATAGAATCCTATAAAGTAAATCCAAAAAGGAACTACTTTGGGGCCTATGGGTAGTTTCTTGGTATAGGGGCCATCGACTTAAGGCGTAAGAAGTTTGGGGCTCGCGGGCTTTGTGGTGTGGATGGCTGGGGATCGGGATTCTCGGGATTGGCTTTGCGGTGTCCGTGGAAGTCTGGGAGCTAGAGACTTTGTAGGGTTTCCCATAGGTTCTAGAAGCAAGCTTGGAAGTGCAAGGACTCGTAGCTTACAGCTTTTCGACCCAAAGACGATACTGTGTAAGTTGTGGCTAGTTTTGGGGCCATGTTCAGCCTGTTGACCCGTTTCTCTTCATCCAAGTGCTTTCGGTCGAGCACGAAGCCAATGAGCAGCTGAAATGATCGGCGGAATCGGCGGATTCGCAACATGTTCATACCCACAAAGACCCATATGGGTGGTTGTCAAAATTAGGGCCCCTTTATGGGTACCCTAAATAATAGGTGCCGTAATATAATTATGCTAAGGACCTAAAAACGGATCCTAATTTTGACAACCACTCATATCATTATAGAGGCGGGTGTTGGGATGTCTTGTCGTATGCTACCATATACTAATACGCCTAGCTAAACAAGGACTCTAATCCCGATCCCTGTGGTACACCAAGGCTCCAAGGAGTCGTGAAACCCGGATGAGGGGTTAGCCCAAGGGCAAGGGGTTGGGATAAAGAGCCCCTATACCCTAAGACCCTAAACACTAAAACCCCTAGACCCCTAAACCCTAAAACCCCAAGACACCCTAAACCCTAAAACCCTAAACCCTAGCCCCAACTCTAAACTCAGAGAAAGGAACAGAAACTCAGTAAGAGGATAGCTCGCCTGTTTGAGTGTATATACCCCCCACACACACAGACCCAAACCCCACGTCCAGTTCATTTTTCTAATCGCTAGCATACCATCAACTTTCCATTACTGTTTCCAACTGTTCCCATTTTCGCATGTTCAACCAGCCAACCAGTAGCCCCTTTCATACATCTAACTGTGGCAAGGGCTGTCTTGAGGAGTTCGGTTCAAGGTCGACGGTTAGGGGCCGTGGTTGCTGGTGGAATTCAGATAGGGTGATGAACCAGGTAGCCATAGATGTATATACCTCCAATGCCTGTATATACTGCCTGGCGCTGTGAAGCCGTCTTCGCGCCCCAGATCAACGCATACTCTCGAGCGCAACCCAGAAATATAACTCGCTTAAGTTCGAGTAAGCCCTCTCGCATGTATCACAACGAAATTTTGGGGCCTTGTGACTAACTGGAAGAGGGCTTGGCGGGTATATCACACTATGTTTACAACATGGACTGCAATGCTACTGCATGGGCAAAGAAAAACGCACCGATACGCACTCGCTTTCCTGCTGCCACGCTTTTTTTTGTCGCACATCAGCCTTGCATTGCTAACTTTGCTACGCCGCGCCGCCGAACTTTCGCAAGACAGCGTCCATTCGGCAGCAGCGCGCGTCTCCAAACTCAGAGACCCATTCTTTGCAAGCAGGCCTCCACCTCTGCGGTGAGATGCCGCGCGGCCCAGCCACGAGCGTTCATCCTCGACGAGACGCAGTGCGCATCGAAGTTCGGGAGGCCGGCGTAGTGCTGCATACAGCGAACGCTTCCCGAGTCCCAAAACTCACTGGGACCAGGGGACCATACTTCTTTAAAAAGCCTTGTTAAGTCTTTATTTTAGGTATAACTAAGGCCCCCTACCCCCGCCCCCTGAGCGTCCTAGTGAAAAACCGGCTTCAGGATTGATTGCCTTTTCGGCTGGCATCTCGTTACTCGGAAGCGTCGCCCCACGGGTAAACCCTGAAGCCCCTCCGTCTTAAGCTGTCTGGTTCTTAGTAGGGAATGGGGTTCCTTTAATAGTTACTATTTACTATAAGGGTTATACTATGGGGGTTTCGGGTTCTTAGTAGACTGTCTGGTCCTTAGTAGGGAATGGGGGAATGGATTATGTAGACTATTGTTGGGGATCCTATAAGGACTGTAGGGATCCATTCCCCCATTCCCAACTAAGCACCAGACAGTTAAGTCACACCGCTGTTGTTCAACCTAAATCCCCGATACAGGGAAAACCCAGCTATTGGGACAGACCGAGCCCCTAGACGTTTTGCTAAAAACCCTCGACGGGCCCCATAAGACTGCTTGAAACCCTTTGCAAACACATCATGAACCCTATCAGCCACTATACCACCTCACACAGAACCCTTGTCAGACCCTTTACAGTAGAAGCCAGAAAGTTGGAACATCATTATTCTCATGCCCTTAAGCTAACGTATGGGGGAATCCTAGCGCTAATCATCCTAAATCCATGTTCCAACTTTCTTCGGGTTCACTGTTCAGCCACCCTGAAAACTTGTCAGCGGGACCATCTCTTTCTCGATGGCGCTAATGATCGAGTTCAGCTTGTCAATCTCGATCACAAACTGCTCCACCTGCAAGGCATAACCTTGAACCCTAAGCCCTTAAACTTCTAAACCCTAAGCCTAAACGCCGACCCCTAATCCCTGAACCCGAACCCCTTACCAGGACGCCCCCAAGCGCCCCCAAACAAAGCCCTTGTGGTGCTTAGTACTCGGAATTTAGGGGGTAGCTGAGACTCCCCCAAACCCTTTTTCATTATGATAAAAGAACCCCAATAGTTCCTTATTTACGGGTCTCTACGTAATCCCTAGAACCCTCGGCCAGGTCTGCGCCTGCTCGTTGAGAGCCGTACCCTTCGCTGTGATTCGCGTCTTCTCGTTCTGGAGTTGGTCCTGGGCCACGAAAAAAGCCGCAAAATCGGAAACCCTACACCCCAAAATCCTTATAAGGCGAAAAATCCATCACCCCCAATATCTGGGCTTAGGTTCTGAGGGGCTTATGGCGTTTAGGGTTCCTGGGGTCTCTAGTGCTCACGAAGTCTCGGGTCTAGTTAGGATTCTAGGATATCGGGTTGGGCTTTAGCAAGTTTTGCAGCGCTAAAGAGTCCCCAAACCCTCCAACAAGACGCAAAACCCTGAAACTCCAAACCCTGAGCGATAGACTCTATGACCTGAACCCCTAAAGCCCCCAAACCCTCCCTAAAAACCTAAACCCTAAACCCCAAAACCCCTAAACCCTAAAACCCAAAGCCCCTAAACCCTAAACCCAAAAAACCTAAACCCAAAATCACCAAAAACCCTAAAACATAAACCCTAAAACCCCCAAAACCCACCCCAAACCCCCAAACACCATCTTGAGCCCATCGCGTGGATGACTTGGAGGCGCTGCTCCTGCGAGGTGAAATCGGAAAATTGAGGATTTAGGGGGTTTAGGGGGTTAGGGGTGTAGGGGGTTTAGGGGTTTAGGGATTTAAGGCTTTAGGGTTTAGGGGTTTAAGGGGTTTGGGGGATTAGGGGTTTTGTGTTTGTGCTGCGTGTTGCTGTTGGTCCCTACATTAGCCGTATAACACTTAGAATTAGAATAGTGTTTTGGTGTATGTTATGGTGGTATTATGCGTATTGTATAGGACCTAGATACTACTACCACAATATACACCAAAAAACTAGTCCAACTAGTTTGGCCCAACAGTTGGGGTTTTAGGACTTCCTTGGCAGCTTATCTTTCGTTATGAGCCTGGGGCTTCAGGGTTCAATGTTTAGAGCGATCTCGGGATTGACGTTGAAGGGTCTCTGCAGTCAGAATTTAATTACTTGTCTCGACACTATGATGTAGAGCACTGTAGGGTGAATTTTCATATTTCAACCCCGAGCACTGTAGGGTGAATTTTCATATTTCAACCCCGCATTTTCTGAAACTCTCCAGTCCGTGGTCCTCCTGTCGAATTCGCGCAAGCTGCTTGTCCTGCACCGACGCTCTCGGCTCTGTCTAGCAGCAGCCTACCGCGCATATGTCCTTGACTGTTGTTCTGATGATGATAAAATGCCGGTGGAATCTTTGATGGTGACCATGATGATCAAGATGAAGAAGATTATGATTATCATGATAAGTACAAAAGCGGTAAAGCTAATCAGCTAATGATGATACATAGAAGTGTGAATAGCAATAGTAATCACAGCTCACATTTTCTTGTCAGAAGAACGATAGGAACAAGAATGATACCAGCGGCAATAAACAAGCAACAGTATAGCAATAATGGCAGAGAAGAACAAATCATGCTGCTTGTGTCGTGGTTATTGTCGTTGATGGCGATGATGAGGACGATGCAGGGATGATGCTGACGGTGCATCATGATGCTGATGATGACGCAGATGCTGATGCTGCGCACCCAACACTGACGATTGCGGTGACAACGACGAAAACGACAGTCAATTTTTTTCGCGACCATGATCATGAAGCATAGGTATCTGACTTGCCAAACTAAGATTCCAGGATATATCAGCGTGCCGTCCGTTCCAGATCAATTGTCAATTGTCTAACAAGTTTCGCAGCTTCAAGAAATAGCATTGGTAACTAGTCAGGCTGCTGTACTGGGGAGCTTCGGGGTGTAGGGCTTAGGGCGCAGCATTTCGGGTCCGGCGTGCACGGTTTCGGGTCTAGGGCTTGGGATTGGCTTGGGATTTAGGGTGCAGGCTTAGGGTTTGGAGTGCAGGGGGTTTTTGGTTTAGGATCATGCAATAGGGTGCATATCCCCTATATACGTCTGCACAACAATCCCAAACTTGAACCCTAAATGCTCAAATTCTAAAACTCTAAACCATAAATCGACACAGCTAGACCTCAGAAATCCGCCGAGGCCAGAGGCCCAGGCGTTTTGGTGGTTACCTCAACCACCCTCCAATCCTCCTCCCTTTGGTGACACCCTGTTTTTGCGTTCGTTTGCCACCCCCTTGCCCGGCTTCCCCTCATTTTACCTGATTTGTCGGCCTCCCCCCCCCCCTCCCAGGCCTCCCTTCCCTCATTTTACATGATTTGTCTCCCCACCCCCCCCCTCCCCCCCTCCCCCCCCCCCCTCCCCCCCCCCCTCCCCCCACTCCCCCCTGTGCCCGTTTTCCTGGCACTTCGTATCAACAACTGTGTAAAGCTTGGGGTTTGACAGGCCGCCCTAGCATAAAAGAACATCGACTGCCCCCTCGCCCTGCCGCTACACAGCCGAGGCGGGCGGCGTAGCGTTAAAATTAAACCAGCAACTCGAAATCCTTGTAGGCGCTCTCCATGCGCAGAATTTCGACCTCGTTGGACAAGATCTTGAACTTCTCCTGGCTTAGGGTTTAGGGTTGAGGGCTTATAGCGGTTTAGGGTTTAGGGCTTAGGGCCTCTATGGGTTTAAGGATTAGGGCTTATAGCAGCTTAGGGTTCAGGGCTTCTATGGGTTTGAGGTTTAGGGTTTAGGGCTTATAGGCTATGGGGTAGGGTTTCTGGCTCAGGGTTTAGAGTTTAGGGTTTGGTTGGGTTTAGGGTGCCATGGAACAGGGCAGAAGGTTTAGGGTCGAATGTGTACGGCTTCAGATTTAGGGTTTAGGGTTTAGGGTTTAGGGTTTAGGGTTTAGGGTTTCGGGGTGTGGGTTTTTGGGGCACATGCTTCAGGCTTTACGGGCGTTGAAGAGCTTAGGGCACTTTGGGGGTTAGGTTGAAGGGCTTAGAGCTTCGTAAAGTCTTGGGCAGGACAGAAAAATTATGGCTTCAAGTAAACCCCATAGAGTTGGAAACCGGATTAAGGCCAACTAGTGATGGGATTCCCTATACATTACTCTTATAAGGGTTGAGGCTATTGGGTTTCCAACTTTTTGGCTTCTACTGTAGAGGCCTGTCTAGATTAGGATGACAAGCTTTAGGGCCTGGGCCGTTTGGTCCAAGAGCTCAAGCCCACCCGCACAACATGCCCAAACCAAACGACAAGACACAACCACAGCAACAACCGAAACAGCAACCGATACCGCAACCACAACACCCCCACCACAACAACAACATCAACAGCAACAGCCACCACAGCCACGAACACAAATACAACAAATCAACATGTTCAGCGCAGAACCATTCAACCTGGCTCTCCCACGAAACAAGAACCGTCCTTCATCTCTGAAAGATGTTGGTCTGACTTCTGGATGTGGGTCCTTGAGCTGTTGGCTTGTGGCTTAGCACAGGGTTTCGGGCTTAGGGCCAGGGGTTTCGGGTTTAGCGTTGCGAGATCTCGTGGACGATGGGAACCTTCTGCAGACTCGGAATAACAAGCTGACAAGGATGGGGATGCCACTATGCTTACCTTTTGATTCTAAGGGTCTCTTATGATGGGGGCTTACAGACACCGAGACTCCCGCAAGGACCTAAAATACCGGGACCCCCAAAAGGGACTACCTTAAGCCAGATAACTGTAGGATTCCGTTTTGGTGGGGAACGCTAAATTTCCGATGATTGCAGGGCTTTGGATACCTGAGTCAAAACATAGTAATGTGAGCTCGTGATTATTAAAGGTCCCCTCAATAGAGCTAAACTCGGCCCGGCACACAATAATAAAAGGTCCCCTCAATAGAGCTAAACTCGGCCCGCACACAATAATAAAGACCCCTCAATAGTCCTAAAACCCGTCCCGTCCTAAAATTTTTAAGGTTTAAGTAGAGAAGCACTCCTACTACAAACTGACGCCCTGGAAGAGGAGAGACAGAAACAGGCAAGATAAAGGACAGAGAGATAGCCAGCCAGCCAGACTTCTGTACTACTGTACTACTGTACTACTACTGTACTACTGTACTAATGTACTACTGTACTACTGTACTACCCCCGGCCCCCAAACAACTTCGACCCCGGACCCCCCAAACAACTTCAGGTCAGAGATATGCGGACCCCCCGTTAATATTACAGGGACTGGACTTGTTTGGGGGGGGGGGGGGGGGGGGGGGGGGGGGGGGGGGGGTTTAATAATCAGGAGACCACATTATCCTCGTGCTTCTCCTTGGGCCCTATGAGAGCCGAAACCCCGAACCCCGAAGCCCTCTGAAGACATCTTAGGAAGAACCTCAGCAAGCAAACAAGCCCGTCAACAGAACTGCAGAGGCTGGGAGGAAGTACTCCCGGGCGCTTTCACCCTAGGGGTCCATGTGCCTATTTAGTAGATACTGTGGCGCTAAACTAGGCATTGTTTCGGCACTTTCGCGACACAGTTATTTCTCCTAGAATTTGTGGGCTGTGGGCACATGGACCCTTAGGGTAATTACGAATGTTCGTGTGGTATCTATTTGGAGCTGCAAAGCGTGGTTCAGCGAGCCTAGTAGGTTTAGGGTTCCGGGAGCTTATCGTACCTTCAACTACCAAAACCGACGTGTCAATATGGGCATTATGGGCCTGATGTAAAATCCAGTTTAACCCTACACAACACATAAGTTACAATGCTTCGACCCATGAAAATGTGGTCTCACTTGTTTGATACCGCGGGCTCACGGCGTGGAGGCGCATCCCTATCAACCTGTACAGCGATATTCTAGTCATTCTGTCATTGCGGCTCCTATATTACATCCTGCAATACCGCATGAGGCGACAGAACCGAAGATGAAGGATACTAATGCAAACTCTATTTTGGTAGTACTGTGGGGAGCGAGTATTTATTTTGTCTATTTTTCTGGCTTTTTTTTGTATATTTTCCTGGTTTTAGTTCTGTTTTCCTTGGTTTTCTGAATCTAGCCTGGTGGCCGTGACCGTTCTCCACCTCTGACTGGAGTTCTTTTTTGTGTATTTTTCTGGTTTTTTTTGTATATTTTCCTGGTTTTAGTTATGCTTTCCTTGGTTTTCGGAATCTAGCCTGGTGGCCGTGACCGTTCTCCACCTCTGACTGGAATTCTTCCTTGCGTATTTTTTTCTGGATTTTTGTGGATTTTTCGGTTTCAATTCTTCCCAAACTTCTTCGCTCGTCTCGCGGCAGCTGCTGGACTGTCAGAAGCTCCTGCCACAATGCTGCAGTGTCTCTCACACTTCTTTTTTGCCCCGCGCGCTTATAGCATCCGCGAAGCTTCTGGATTGAATCTCTAAGACTCTGCGGTTGCGGTCTGGGTGGAGAGACGCCTGCTTGGTTTTTCGTAGGGAAAACACTGTTTTCCTACGGCTTCCGTGTCGTTTCCTTAGGTTTTCAGCAGGAAAACATACGTTACCTTGGTTGTTCCTCGGGAAAATCGGCTTTTCCGTGCATTGTCGCATTTTGTACGGATTTCGTGGTGTTGTTGTTGTTACTGCTGGTGTTGATGATGTTGTTGATGTTGTTGTCGTTGTAGTTGTAGTTGTAGTAGTCGTGGTAGTGGTAGTTGCAGTAGTTGTAGTAGTCGTAGTAGCAGCAGTAATAGTAATAGGAATAGGAATAGGAATAGGAATAGGAATAGGGATAGTAATAGGAATAGGGATAGGAATAGGAATATGGATAGTAATAGTAATAGTAATAGTAATAGTAATAGTAATAGTAATAGTAATAGTAGTAGTAGTAGTAATAGTAATAGTAATAGTAATAGTAATAGTAGTAGTAGTAGTAATAGTAATAGTAATAGTAATAGTAATAGTAATAGTAATAGTAATAGTAATAGTAATAGTAATAGTAATAAAGTAATAGTAATAGTAATAGTAATAGTAATATAGTAATAGTAATAGTAATAGTAATAGTAATAGTATTAGTAATAGTAATAGCAATAGTAATAGTAATAGTAATAGTAATAGTAATAGTAATAGTAATAATAGTAGTAGTAGTAGTAGTAGTTGTTGTTGTTGTTGTTGATGTTGTTGTTGTTGTTGTGCTTGTTGGTGGTGGTGGTGCTGGTGCTGGTGTTGGTGCTGTTGTTGCATTTTGCTGCTGGTGGTGTCGTTGTTGTTGCTGTTCTTCCTGTTGTTCTCGTTGTGGTTGCATGCCTTTTGGTGTTATTTGTTACTGGTGTTGCTACTGCTCTTGGTGTTCATGTTGTTGTTGCTGCTGGGTGGAGTCTTTTTCTTTAAGGTTTGGCGGCCAGGTTATGTTTAAAAGGTTTGGCGGGATATGGGTTCGGGGGGATTCTAGTTTTCAGGGTTTGTTTGTGCGTCAAGCTGTCGCGGGAGTGTAGTTTGTTCAGGGTTTGCTTGTGCGTCAAGCTACTGGGAGATTCCAGTGTTCGAGCTTGTTTTCCTGCGTCAAGCTATTGGGGAATTCCGGCTCGCGGCCTCCCCCATTAGCAAGCATGATGCTCGCATGGTTGGTCAAAAAACGCGTATGTGCTGTCAAGCAAGCATGCCACTCTCGCACGCCCGGCGCATGCTTCCCAATTGCAATCACACTTTTCACAAGGTGAAGGGTGCTGCTTCTAAGTAAAAGATTCATCCTAGGATATCCTAGGCATCGACTGCTATGCTGTCATGCAATCACGGCTTATAGCAGCCGGGGGGGTTGGGGGGGGGGCAACCCCTTCCAGTTGCAATCACGATCCTCGTATGGCTGGTTTACCGCAAATCGCATGCGGCCGGGGGGGGTTAAGGGCGGCAATCAGATTTGCTCGCATGGTTTGGTTTTAACAAGAATACTCTGCTGCCAAGCAAAGCTGCGGTCACGCAAGCTTGCACATGGTTTAAAGCAGTGGGGGGGTTGGGGGGGCGCAGCCCGCCCGATTTGCAAGCATGATGCTCGCGTGGTTGGTTAAAACATGCGCATGTGCTGTCACGACTCCTATGCTGTCATGCAACCTGGCACACGGCTTACACAGCGGGGGGGTTGGGGGGGGCGCAGCCCCCCCCATTTGCAATCACGATGCTCGCATGTCTGGTTTACAACAAAAACTATGCGGCGGGGCGGTTTAAGGGGGGCAGTTCATGAGGATGCTCGCATGGTGGGGTTTTCAACAAAACGCATATATGCTGTCAAGCAAGCTCGGCACTCTCGCACGCCCGGGGCAGGCTTTCCATTTGCAAAGAGACTCTTTGCATGGTGAATGGCATTGTTTCAAGAAGACTTACATTTTATGCAGGGTGGGTTTTCAGAACGACGTCTATGCTGTCAAGCAAGCTTGCACACAGCTCAAAACAGCGGGGTCTCTGGTCTTTGCTTCTTGCTGTCTAATTATCCTGCTTTCGTTCTTGGGTTCTTTCTTTGCTCCGTTCTTTCTAACACTCCTTCTGGTCGTCCTTGCTGGCTTTCTGTCTTTCGATATTCATTTCTTCTGTTCTGTCTCTCTGTCTTTGCTGCGTTCTTATTTCCTTGCTTCTGTCTGTCCTTCTGTCCTTCCTTCCTTTCTTTCTTTCTCCCCATTCTGGTGTGTTGCTTTCTTGCCTTCTTCCTTTGTTCCCGTCTTCGTTCATTTTTTCTTTCTGTCGTCCTTCTTTCCTTCCTTCCTGTCTTTCTGTCCTTCGTCCTTTCTTTCTTTCTCCTCTTCCTGGTGTCTTCCTTTCTTGCTTTCTTTGTTTGTTTCTTAGCTCCTTTCTTTCTTTCTGGCTTCCGTTTCTCTCCTTCTTTCTTTCGTTTGCGTTCAACCGAAAACCAGAAAAATAGACAGAAAAAAACCAGAAAAATTGACCAAAAAAAATACGGTACCCGTGGCGTTCGGGTTGGAGGCCTTGCGAGCCCTCACAAAGGCTTGGTATTGGGCCTCTTGTTCCCGGGAGAGCGCTATTGGGGAGATCCACTGCCCCGTGGATTGCCTTCCCCGGCCTTGGTCCCGAGGGGCTTGGCCTCCCTCCCGAGGGGCTTTGCTTCCCTCTTTGGAGCTCTGACCCTTTCCGGTGCCCGCTCCTGCTTTGCCTTTCCCGCGGCCTCCACCTTTGGGCCTCCACCTTTGGGCCCAGCGGGGCCCTTGCCTCCTTTAGCGGGAGGCCCCATCCTGCTTGCTAAAGAACCGGTGCAGGCCGGTAGCGGAACTACCACTACCTCGGGTCTCCTACCGGCTTAGGGTCTGCAGGGTTGACCAGGAGGTCCTTGGCTGGGTTGTCTGAGGACTGGCTTTGGCTTCATGATGGGAACTTGCGGGGCGCCTTGGTCCCCTGTTTCGAGCTTCGAGCCTAAACAGCTGCCGTAGCTTTTGGTTGGGCCTTCGGGCTGAGCTTGGGGCTTAAGCTTGGCTCGTTTCCTGTCTAAGGGCTGGCACGAGCCTTAGGGTTTGAGCCAGATAGTGGTTAGCCGCAGGGTTGAGCACTAATCATAACTCCGCGGCAATCTGCCCCTTCTTAAACGCTTAGGCAACACACTGACCTACACAGGGTCTTGGAGGGTTTAGAGTGCCCTGGCCTAAGCTGCGCGCCACACTTTTTGCACATCCACCTGTCGCCTAGGTTGTGCATGTCGTGTGACACATGCACTTCCAGCTCAGCTGGAATGGGGCTCTCCGTGTGCCGACAGGGGTGGGCGGCTATGCGGTCGAAACGCCACAAGGGCATGAGCTGCTTTATGCACAGCCCGCAAACCACGCACGCCGCGGAGGCGATGGCAGTGGGGTGGGCCTCCCACGTGTGCCCGCCGGTGCCCTCTTTAATGAGGGCCTCGATTCGTTGGCGTTTGTTCTCCCCTCCATCTGCGGCTGGCCTGGGCCGATGGTGCGGGGGCGGTGTTGCAGGGGTCGCAGGCTTGCTTGCACCCTTGGGGGTATGCTTCTTCCCCTTTTTGCGTTTGGGTGTCCTCCTGGGTCAAGTCCCAGGGTGGCTGCTCCTGGGAGACCAGCAGCACGGAAGCCCTGTGCTGCAAGAAGACAGTCACCTCACGCACTAGGTCGTCGATCTCGTCTGGACACCATGGACCCACTTGGGCCGTGGCCCTGGCCGCCGCTTTCCGGCAGAGTTGGTCGGCCGCGTCGTTTATCTGCTGTTTTAGAGAGACGCCTCTCCGAATTCAGCGCTGAATTCCTCCGCGGTCACGTGTGACCTGACCCACGTCAGTGAGGCGTGCGCGCGCCGGTCGCCCCCTTCCGTTGGGGCCCGCAGCTGCCCAAAGGACAGCTGTGTATACATAAGGAAGCTGTTGTAGCGGCAGCTATATTCTGTATTACGCAGCCGGCGTATGTATACGCTACTTGGCGTATAAGTGGTTATATCATATGGTCGCATTGCTAAACCTTGAATGGCGCCAGCCAGTGTTTGCTAAACCCGAAAACGGTGCAAGCCAGCGTTTGCGACACCCGAAACCAGCGACCAAACAAAACCAACAACAAACACAACACAAAAGTTCAAAAGTACATTATAGCTTTTCATTGAAAAGCTATCGGCGTATTTGCTTTTGCCAAACCCGAACATGGCGCAAGCCAGCGTTTGCTAGACCCGAAAATGGCGCCAGCAAGCGTTTGCTAAACCCGAAAACGGCGCCAGCCAGCGTTTGGTTAACCCGACAACGGCGCAAGCCAGCGTTTGCTACACCCGCGAATGAAAAGCCATCGGTGTTTGCTTTTGCTAAACCCGAAAATTGCGCAAGCCAGCGTTTGCTAAACCCGAAAATGGCGCCAGCCGGCGTTTGCTAAACCCGAAAATGACGCCAGCCAGCGTTTGCTAGACCCGAAAATGGCGCCAGCCAGCGTTTGCTAAACCCGAATACGGCGCAAGCCAACGTTTGCTACACCCGCGAAACCAGCGACCAAACAAAACCAAAAATACACATAACACAAAACTTCAAAACATTGAAAAGCTATCGGTGTTTGCTTTTGCTAAACCCGAAAATGGCGCCAGCCAGCGTTTGCTAGACCCGAAAATGGCGCCAGCCAGCGTTTGCTAAACCCGAAAACGGCGCAAGCCAACGTTTGCTACACCCGCGAAACCAGCGACCAAACAAAACCAACAATACACATAACACAAAACTTCAAAACATTGAAAAGCTATCGGTGTTTGATTTTGCTAAACCCGAAATGGCGCCAGCCAGCGTTTGCTAGACCCGAAAATGGCGCAAGCCAGCGTTTGCTAAACCCGAAAATGGCGCCAGCCAGCGTTTGCTAAACCCGAAAATGGCGCCAGCCAGCGTTTGCTAGACCCGAAAATGGCGCCAGCCAGCGTTTGCCAGACACGAAATGGCACAAGCCAGCGTTTGCTAAACCCGAAAATGGCCAGATTTGAACCAACAAACGGTGTAGCCACATGGGCTTGAGCCGGCTTGGGCCTTTAGGGTTGTAGGGTACACTCTTTGTGTCTCTGCGTATGTAGCCACATGGGCTTGAGCCGGCTTGAGCAAAAGTTGTTAGGGTACATGTAGGGTAGGGTACACTCTCTGTGTCTTTCTGTTCATGTATGTATGTATATATATATATATATATAGACATATATACATGCAATGGAAAATACAACTACCACTACTACTACTATATACTACTACTACTACTACTACTACTACTACTACCACTACTACTACTACTACTACTAGCACTACTGCTACTACTACTACTACTACTACTACTACTACTACTACTACAAGCCACCCCCCCCTACCAACTACGCTTGTTCCATCCGGGCTGGGCAGCGGTAGCTGCTAGGCGCCTTAGCTGCGATAGTTGCAGAAGATGCACGGGCTCAGGCTCCTTATCTGTGACAGCTGCAGAAGTTGCAGAGGCTCAGTTTCCTTAACTGTCACAGCCGGTGAAGTTGCAGGGGTTCAGGCCCCAAAACTGCGACAGCAGCTGGAGTTGCAAGCTCGACTGGGAAGAAACTGATAAACCCCAGGTGATCGGATAGTACGAAAACCTGTAAATACCGTGCAAAACCCAGGTGCTGCCAAGAAGGGTTTAACATTTCTAAAACCTGAAGCGCAACATCTTCTAAACATCAAAAACAAAGATGCCAGCTGTACGTGGGAGGGGGCTCGCCAACACCCCTACCGCCCAACCTCTGCGTAGGAGGGTCTGTTTTTGAATTGGTGTGTGTGGTGTGTGCGCGCTTGAGTGTGGAAATATTGTTCAGGGTGTCCGCAAAACAGTGTCGTGATCATCCCCGAAGAAGCTTTCCCCCACCCAATTTCGAGTTTTTTTTGCAAGCAGTTCTAAACAGCAAAGTTTAATACGCATAGTCGAGAAGTAAGGGCTCAGAATATGTAACAAAGTCTGACATCACGAAAGTACCGTAAATACCGAGTTAAACGGCTCTTGTGGTGATACTGCTGGGTGTGTTCGCGTAACACTGTCGTCATCATCATCCCCCCCCCCACCCCCCACGCACCCCAGAAGCAAGTCCAAAATCAAGAGCCCGAGTTTGCAAACTCGACAAGTCGATTTTTAGGCCTCTTAGGATGATCGCACATGACGAAAGTGCCGTAAATACCGAGTAAAATGGATGTTGTCTTAACATGGTTGAGAGCAAGTGTAGTTGGTAGGGGGGGTGCCTACTACTACTACTACTACTACTACTACTACTACTACTACTACTACTACTACTACTACTACTACTACTACTACTACTACTATACTACTACTATACTACTACCACTACTACTACCACTACCACTACCACTACCACTACCACTACTACTACTACTACTACTACTACTACTACTACTACTACTACTACTACTACTACTACTACTGCTACTGCTACTACTACTACTACTACTACTACTACTACTACTACTACTACTACTACTACTACTACTACTACTACTACTACTACTATACTACTTTTACTACAACTGATGCTGCTACTAGTACTACAATTCGCGGCTGTCGGCTTCGGTTCGCGGCTGTTGGCATCGGTTCGCGGCTTTTGGCATCGGTTCGCGGCTGTTGGCGTCGGTTCGCGGCTGTTCCAGTCGAGGTCCGCGGCTGTTGGCGTCGGTTCGCGGCTGTTCGGCTGCAGTTCGCGGCTTTGCAACAATTCGCGGCTGTAGTTTCGTGGTGGTGGTTGTGACTGCTGCCGGCTCTACCTGCAAGTTTTTTTGAGAAAACCGGGTCATGAATCGAACGTTGGGGGGCTCATTTTCTGAGGGCTCCTACAATTCATGGCTTTTCGCGCCAAATCGCGGCTGTTTCGCGCCAAATCGCGGCTGTTGCTGGGTCCGTTTTCCATTATTTTTTTAAATTTTCTGTTTGCAATTTTTTTCTCGTGTCGCAATATGTTTTCGCACCTCGTGCTTTCGATGGCCTATCGTGTGGATCTAGACAGCCGCGAAACTGGACCGAGCCTGTTGCCGGTTCCCCAAGACCCCCTGTGGCTGATATTTCCATCCGCCAGCCACCTATTTTGCCAAAGCACCACCAAATACCCCATGTAACCCTCACTAAGGTGCCCAGTAATCAAATCTCGGCCTTGGCTCCTGCTTCCGGACTGAAACCATCCAATATCCCATTCTACTTTAGAGTTCTGACCTACGATCTAGTATACGTTTACAATGCACTACTACTACTACTACTACTACTACTACTACTACTATTACTACTACTACTACTACTACTACTACTACTACTACCACGACTACTACAACTACTACTACCACTACTACTACTACTACTACTACAACTACTACTACTACTCTACTACTACTACTACTACTACTACTACTACTACTACTACTACTATTAATACTACTACTACTACTACTACTACTGCTACTGCTACTGCTACTGCTACTGCTACTACTACTACTACTACTACTACAACAACTACTACTACTACTACTACTACTACTACTACTACTACTACTACTATTAATACTACTACTACTACTACTACTACTACTACTACTAGCCACCCCCCCCTCCCAACTACACTTGTTCCATCCGGGCTGGGCAGCGATAACTGCTAGGCGCCTTAACTGCGATAGTTGCAGAAGATGCACGGGCTCAGGCTCCTTATCTGTGACAGCTGCAGAAGTTGCAGAGGCTCAGTTTCCTTAACTGTCACAGCCGGTGAAGTTGCAGGGGCTCAGGCCCCAAAACTGCCACAGCAGCTGGAGTTGCAAGCTCGACGGGGAAGAAACTGATAAACCCCAGGTGGTCGGATAGTACGAAAACGCTGTAAATACCGTGCAAAACCCAGGTGCTGCCAACAAGGGTTTAACGTTTCTAAAACCTGAAGCGCAACATCTTCTGAACATCAAAAACAAAGATGCCAGCTGTACGTGGGAGAGGCTCGCCAACACCCCTACCGCCCAACCTCTGCGTAGGAGGGTCTGTTTTTGAAGTGGTGTGTGTGTGGTGTGTGCGCGCTTGAGTGTGGAAATATTGTTCAGGGTGTCCGCAAAACAGTGTCGTGATCATCCCCAAAGAAGCTTTCCCCCACCCAATTTCGAGTTTTTTTTCAAACAGTTCTAAACAGCAAAGTTTAATACGCATAGTCGAGAAGTAAGGGCTCAGAATATGTAACAAAGTCTGACATCACGAAAGTACCGTCAATACCGAGTTAAACGGCTCTTGTGGTGATACTGCTGGGTGTGCTCGCGTAACACTGTCGTCATCATGCCCCCCCCACCCCCCACCCACCCCCAGAAGCAAGTCCAAAATCAAGAGCCCGAGTTTGCAAACTCGACAAGTCGATTTTTAGGCTTCTTAGGATGATCGCACATGACGAAAGTGCCGTAAATACCGAGAAAAATGGATGTTGTCTTAACATGGTTGAGAGCAAGTGTAGTTGGTAGGGGGCGGGGTGCCTACTACTACTACTACCACCACCACTACTACTACTACTACTACTACTATTACTACTACGACGACTACTACTACTACTACTACACGACTACTACTACTACTACTACTACTACTACTACTACTATACTACTACTACTACTACTACTACTACTACTACTACTACTACTACTACTACTGCTACTATACTATCACTACTACTACTACTA